TCAAGCACTTTACACTGCAAGTTTTTGTAACAAGGTTAACTAGGCATCCGGACCATAGCCGCCACAGTAAACTCTTGAGCATTAAGAGTAGGCAACAGTGCATTTGACAGTTCCATATGTTCTCGCAATATTTTTTCAGCTGACGGAACAAGGTTGTAGAAAATTATCTGACTCCATACGACGCTCATGGAACCACCGCGCCAGTGTCCTTTGGATTGAATCAAAAAGTGCACCTATTGGAAACTCTCTTTCTATCTAACTTCGAATTTATGGACTCAGCTTGTTCGTGGTCATGACATCAACCTTCTCCGGGAAAGTAGCTCTACTCCATCTCTCGAAACCAACATCATCATGCTCAAGATACTTAGCAACTCTAACATCCTTGATTCGGATTTGCTGGAGTGTTCCTCGAACTCATCACCGGTAAGCTTTTGCTGCCATGTAGTATGTCTGAAGGAGGCCACACTTAAACTTTTGTTTATGTTCTCACCAAGGTGCCTCATACAGAATCCGTGATGTGCTTGACGGTAAATAGTGGCAATCCCCTTCTTTATAATTTGTGCCTATCGGATATTATGCACAACTCGTCACTGTCAGGCACTATCGTACGTAACTGCTGAAAAAACCAAGTCCACGACTCGCATTCCAAGTCAACCACACACCATGCAACAGGATATGTGTGATTCTCGCTGTCCTGTGCAGTGGCCACCAACAATGTACCTCCATACTTTCCCTTTAGAAAGCAACCATCAACAGCCAACACCTTCCTCATGTTTACAAAACCCCTTATACGCACCATAGCAACAAAAAAATATTTAAACATCATTCCTGTCCCACTTCAAAGCCGTCTTGCTACCTTGGTTTGTCAACTCAAGCATATAACGGTACGCTTCTAATACTGCGTACCCGTGCTCCGGCGTGCCCCTCACAAAATCTTGTGCATGTTTCTACCTTTCCAGCATTTCCAGTAACTAACACCACATCCCAACTCTGTGCGCACAAGTCTCTGAATGTCTTTAGGAGATGGACCTTTCCCTTCGACGAACCGACTTTTGACAAATTGTCCATAACATCAGCGGACCTTGTCGATGCTCACCTGAATATGTCCCAAACCACATGTGTGCTCACGGGTATATGTGCTAAGAATAACTTTTCCGACTCCGCCAACCTTCTACAATAAACCCGCCACTTGCAGTTTCGGTCACGACATGCAACCGTCACAGCCAATGAATTTGACTTTTGGTGATGAACTCAAAATTACCTTTCACAGCAACAAGTTTTAGCTTCCTCACCACTTCCCTTTGTTGTCAAATAATACCCTAGGCGCAAGTCCATCCATCCGTAAAGACATGAGCTGATCCACTACACCTCCAATTGCCCCCTTTGAACTTGCATAAACGACCATAGTGTTCTCTTCCTCACAATCTACCCTTCTGCATAATCTGTATTTAAAGGAATCTCTACATCTGTGGGAACATCTCCGGGGTCCTCCTCCTCAACATTTTCATTCTGCCCCCCATCACCAACCTCTTCTATAGTGTCCTCCTCACCACCCAATTGACCGTCTACTCTTGATTTTTCAGCTAACAAATCAATGGCCTCGTAGTTCAAATTACAACCAGGCAAATCTCCGCCTACATCCTCGTTATCCCCTTCCTTGGAACCAACTTCCAACGGTTTTTCTACTAAAAACCCTTAAATCGGCCTCGAACCACTACGGCCATATCAATCATAAATAAGTTCACCCTTTCTCCGACTTTAATACAGCAGGAGGTACCTTATAATTTTCAGGAGCTCTGCTTAAAACATACCTCACAACTATATCACTACGCACGCGAGCAACTCAATAACCTCTTCTAATTATTTCATCAATCAACTCATCAAAACTAACCTCTGTGCTCACAGCAATTGGTGTAACTTCTTTGCTCTTCCCATCCACTTCCACCTACTTTCTTCCTCCACCCACTCACCAAAATATTCAACACCCAAAACAATTTTTCCCATGTATAATAATAGCCACACCTGTATGCAAGAAAAACAATATTCTTAAATGCTGTACTAAGGGTTCAAATAGTTTAAAAAGAATCTGCACATTCGCATATTTGGTCTGATGTTCGCTTGAACGATCATGGTTATTTATACTGGATCGCTTAAGCGATACACCTGATCGCTTAAGCGATTAAGTATAAATAACCTTGATCGCTTAAGCGATCTATGCCATTTCTGATCGCGTAAGCGATCTGCTCCCATACAACAGACTTTAACCAGATCGCTTAAGCGATCTTATGCCACATACCTGATCGCTTAAGCGATCTATCTGCTGCATTACCAGACCTACCGGATCGCTTAAGCGATACACCGGATCGCTTAAGCGATCCTCGTGCCCAGACACTTTTTCAGTCATCTCCACCTACAATCGATCCATCATACCCAGAAATAAATACCCAGAACTAATTTTCAACAAATTTCACTCCTTTCAACCTACATTACATCAAACACAACCCAACAACCTAAACAACTAAATCAAAATCATAACCCAAACCCCATCCATTTAATCTTTGTAATCTAAATATAAAATGTAAAAAGGATACACATACTTAGGCGAAATGTCAGGAGAGGAGGAGAATCTTTGCCGGAGAAGATGTTAATGTGAGGAAGAAGAAAGTGTAATGCGGTAGGAGATGCGAAGAAGAAGATGTAGAGGAATGAGGAAGAAGAAGTGTACAGGAAGAAGAAGAAGATGCAGAGGAAAGAAGAGATGTTGACGACGCCAAGAAGAAGAGAAGAAGATGCAGTAGAGATGCGTTAATGGCGGGAGGAAGAAGAAGGTTTTTGGTTTTATTTGCAACAATTTCGGATTTGTGGAAATATAGATAATTTTGAAAAGATTACATTAATCCTAATTAAGCACTAATTACCCTTAATCAATATATGGCTATTTAGTTAACATTTCAAAACTTATACCTTTTAATTAAATGTAAACTTCAAATGTCTTTTTAATACTTCCCCCTGAACAAAACCCAGCCTAAATCTCTTTCCAAACGACACCGTTTGAATCGGTCGAGATTTTGTCCTCGAGGCAATCTAATCCATTCCTTTCAACGACGCCGTTCCAGGTTAACACGACCTTTTTTTTTTTTTTTTTTTGTTCAGATACTCGTTTTTTATTTAGAGAAATTAATTTTGTTGCATATTTTGTAAGGTTATTGGGTTATGTTTTTTAAGTCCCAAAAATGTTTAGTGTAAAGATTAAAGAGAAAATATTAAAAACTTAAGCTCCGTTTGATTCACTCTTCCAAATAACATTCTGCGTTTTCCCAATAAAGTTAAACACTAAAATTGACTTACTCTCAAAATATTATTCAATTTCTTTTAAACTCCCCTAAATTTATTAATTTAACTAAACACCCTCAAATTTTTTTTAGAAACTGCAAAAACACCCCAGCAACCCACATTTACCAGATTCCGGCCACCATTGCCGAAAACTGGCCGAAATCTAGTATAATGGCGTACTACCTACTGAATCTTGCCAGTAGTGCACCGATCTAGTCTTTTCCAGCCAGATCTATGACCAGATCTTTTGTCGTCGCCAGTCCATCAACGATGACCATATTTTGGCCGTCATTGACGACTAAATGCGGCCAGATCTAGCAATAGATTTGGTCTTTTTCAGTCAGATCTACGGCAAAAAAGGTCATATCGGCGCACGACCGACAAGATCTAGTCGGTCATGTGCCGATATGGCGACTCCAGCCACTCTCCGACGGTTGTGGCCGGCTGTTTGTATTTAATGGGTGTATTTAATGGGTGGGTTAGGAGTGTTTTTGTTAACTTTTAATATTTTATTATAAGGGTGTTTAGTAAATAAACAAACATAGAGGGTATTTTTGATAATTTCTAAATCTTAAATCATAATACCCACTCAATTTAACTTTTTTCAAAACATTATTCTTAAAAGTATCATAATAATGAACCAAACGGACCTTAATATATATATATTTAGATATACAGAGGAGTATAAAAGGCATAACATGTGCATCACCTAAATATTTTTCCAATTTTATATTACCGTTTGAAGAGCATGTTCAAATTAATTAATGTTTAGGAAAAACATAATATCATTTACCTATTTTTACAATAACAATAAAAATGTAAGGCTAAAAAGTGATGGAGATTTGACAAGTGAAACACAGCTTTCAGTCCTTCACTGGATTCATGTGTTGTAGTCTATATTCAAATCATAAGTGTTAATACACACTTTATATCTCCAATTTATAATATAATACATGATATTTACGACCTTTAAAATATTGTTTATGTAATTTTATTAGAGTTGACAATATTTTCTCACCAAAATAATGATTTAATAACAATTTTTTACCCACAAACTTTTAAAATACAATTTTACTATTTAAATTTATATTCCGACAACAAATAAAAAACACACTTAGTCTAGGTCATGGGAGTTTTTGAAGAGAGAAAGCCAATGAGTCTTTTGATGGTAGAAGGTTGAATTTTGGTAGTTAGGATTGATTAAAATTTGACTTGAGATGAGTGGAGCACAATAGCTTGATCTGTCTAGGTCGACCAGAGTAAGGTTTGAGGGGTTTTGGTGAGTGATGATCGAGGAAGAGAATGGTGATGGTGTGAGATTGCAACGATGCCGGAATCAGAAACATAATATAAATTTAGATAATAAAATGATATTTTAAAAGTGTAGATAGAAAAATGTTATTAGGCTATCATTTGGGTGGGAAATAGTTTTGTACTAAATTTTATTACACACAAATTGTATTTCAATATGATAAAGAATCAAGAGTTTTAAATTAACTCATATTCAATTTTGACCTAATTATACAACATGCACTGTTACTGAAAATGTAAAGGAAAAAAAAAATTAATTAATTACCTAAATTCGATATAAACGTCCTGTTGCTCCATTGATTGAGAGTATTAAAAGCATGCATGCATGTGATGAAATAATAATAATAATGATAAAATTAAATAGGAAAGAAAAAGCAATTTTAATTTTGATTGATGTTAACATTGATGATACATGAGATGAAATTTACTTTACATGCATGATTGACGCCTCCCTCATGCTCATCCTCTTATCTTATCACTCCAATATTAACACTCTAATCTCCTCTAATTACCTTTACCTATCTCCCTTAACAGTCTCTACCGCTTTACTACCACCACCAAGTCCAACGTCCTCCTTTCTTCTCCGCGAGAAAATTTTAATCCCCAACTTCACTGGAGAATATGACAACCAATCAGATTTCTCCACGTCCTCAACGCCACCAAAAAAAAAAAAAATGAATGAAAAAAGATAATACTAGGTAGTACATCACATGTGTAAGAAGCGCGCTAGCTGTGTAGGGTTGACAATGCCCGGGATGTGGGCCCCACCTGTCTTTAGCAAACTTGCTACTTCCACGTACGTTTTCAACTGCGGCTCGGCTTCATCCTTCTTTCCCAGCTTAACCTTCATCGGCTCCACAGCTGATACTTGACCCGAACCATGACCCGAACCCGCTTGATCTCCCGCTGCGTCAAAAGGTTTACCAAAGAGCGTGCCCTTGGTAAGGTATTCGTGAGCCAAGTACCCGGCTAGTAGCTGATTAGACGACGAAACCGGGTCGGGAGCTTTGTAAGATTCGGGTTGGGCGGGAGTCGGCTTGAGCGATTTTGTAGTTGGCGGTTTGTAGTCGTCTCTCTCTTTGCGCTTGGTTGGCGTCAAAACGCGCCGAGGGGGTAGACGCATCGTTTTGGTATTCATATCTCTTTTCTCGGTGCATGCCACGTCAGCACCAAATATACCATAAAATTGAAAAATCCCCTTTTATCGGGGAAGTATTTTTAAAATAAACCAATTAATAAAAAGTTTATTTAATCCAATAATGGATGGACAGTAAAAAAGTAAAAACCCAGAAAGGGTATAAAAGTAAAAAAAAAATCCCAGAGAAACCGTAGTCTAAAAAGAAAATAAAGAAAATATTTAATTTTCCCCAAAAATTAAAAAAAAAAAAAAAAAGATCAGAGAGATGGATGCAAATAAAATCTGGAAGATTAGTAGGAATTTAATAAGTTGGGAAAGAGATTAGAGAAAGAGAGAGACGGAGAAAGAGACGGGGAGAGAAAAGAGCGAGAGAAATTAGAAGAGGTGAAGGAATGAGAAGAGAAGCGGATTGTGAGTATATATAGAGGTTGGATCAATTAATAACCTCTTGTTTTCCTACTTATTTACAAAGACTACCTCGGAGATGTAGAGTGACGGATGTACCCTTTTTGTCTGGACCATGATTTTATAACCTTTATGTCAATAGGTTATGTTGAAAGATTCCAATAAATCAATTAAATTCTATACCTAAAAACTATATATAGAATTATTTTTATTATATTAATGTCAAAAGAGAGTAAATTTATATATGATATGGTATTGTAATGAATATAAGAATTATTTTATGTATTTGGCTTCAATTGAAATTTATGTCTCCTGTATATTATTCATGGAATTACCATTAACAAGTTTTATATTTTCTTTACTTGTTCTTAAATAAATTAGTTGACAAAATAAACTTGACACGTGATATAAACATGTCTTAAACTAATTAAATAATGTTGGTTTATTGAAAATTCGTCCAATTAATATGAGAGGCCAACACCCCTTTAATTAATGTGGACCGCCCTTTTTAAACACAAGTTGATTTAATTATAATTGCGACTACAACATTTTAAAATAGATTTAATTATATAAAAAATTGTATATATGTAACATCAAATCTCTTTTATAAATAATATATATCACCGGGTGATAAATAATAACGTAAGCTTAAACTTATTAACGACCTATTAATTGCTAATTATTTTTAAAGGATAGTTTGTATATTCATAATTAAAATATATATTTTTAACATATTTATCATAAGTTTTTTTCTTTTCTTTCTTTTTTTGTCATTTAAATTTTTCTCTAGATTGACGGTACCAGCAACAGAAGCCAGGAGTAGGTAGCTGTTGGGTTGTATACAGTTGTATGTATAATCATTTTAATGTCTAATTATTTATCTAAATGCATTCTATTATTTACTGTACTATTAATTGTCCTTTTTCTTAACTTGGAAATTTTGATGTTTAATTAGCTTTATTGTATTTGAAATACGACTGATCAATAATCAACTTCCTGCTTGCTCTTGGGCACAAAATGATGGAAGCAAGTCGGCATTTGTTATATTTTTCATCCTTCGAAAGTAAGTCTAAAACTATTGCCGCTATAGACGCATCGGGCCACTTTCTCCCTCCCATTTTGTGAAGTTGAACCACTTTTGAAGTCTCATTATTTGGTAAGGGACCATTCATAAGCGTATGAAATATGAATACATTCGGAGCAATTCCTTTTTGCTCCATATCTAATAACAGATCATTTGCCTTTTCTATGAGCCCTTCTTTACAAAGACAATCCATCATAGTGGTATATGTCACAGGAGTTTGAATCAAGCCTTTATTATGCAATCTGTGAAACACTTCCCAGGCAATTTCGAGTCTCACCGTTATGTAAATTTGCATCTCATTGAATAGGTTTTGTGCATGTCCAACTTTATAAATTTGAAAAAGATCAGTTAACAAGGTGTTATAAGTGAAAACATCTAGTCTAACTCCCTTTGAACTCGTTTCCTTAAAAAGACTCGTAACTTTACGATTCTTGTAATACCAATAGATCAAAGTAGTCTAGCTAACTGCATTAGGCCTGATCCCTTGCTCATCATAGATAGAAAATACTCCTTAACATTCTCAATTCTACTTGCCACTCAAAATTGTGTTATAAGTAATTGTGTTGGGATGAACACCTCTTTGAATCATTAGTTAGAGCAACGAATTAGCTTCGATCATCTTTCCATTCTTATAAAATTCATCCATTACGACATTAAATGTCACTACATCAGAGGTTGTACACCTTCACCCAACATCTCCATAAACAAAGTTTTAGCTTCCCCTCAATTACATGTACAACATAAACCATGAATTGGAGAGCTGTAAGTAACTAAAATTGGGTTAATTCCCCTTGTCTTCATTTATGAAAATAATTGTTTCGCCTTGTCTACTACCCCATGTTTTACAAAGCAATGATACTATTATAAACAACAATGGGTGCGATTGGTTCATTATTTTGGATAAGATTTTGGGAATAATATTGGGTAGTTGAATAAGAGAGTATTACGAGGTAAAATTTAAAAATTTATAAAAAAGCTCCTAGGTTTACTAATTTAATTAAACACCCTAACATATAAAATGACAAAAATACCCTTACCACCTGCAGTGCCAGATTCCAGCCACCACCGGAAAATCGCATTACGACATAGACCGGTCGGATCTATGTCGTAATGTGTCGTTATAGCCTTTTCCGGCCAGATCCACCACGAATCTGGCCAGAAAATGCAAGATCTACGGCCTGCTATGGTAGTCGACGGCCGAAAAAGGCCAAAATGATGGCCATCTTTGACCGTCAGTGACGGCCAAAGATATGGCCGTCGTTGATGGCCAGATCGGTGAATTACCGGCCAGTTCCGGTCGGTAATTCACCGTTGTGGCAGATTCCGGCTACCACCAATGGTGGTTGCTGAAATCTGTCAAGTATGGGTCATGGGGGTGTTTTTGTTATTTTTTAAACTTTTTATGGGTGTTTAATGAAATTAATAACCTTATGGGGTCTAAAATTAATTATAAAAAATTGGATAATATTTATGGAATAATGTGCCAAAGATTATTTACAGAATAGGATTAGGAATAATGAACTAAACACGGCCAATATTAGGCTTTCTTAACAATTGAGTTGCTTCCTTAATCTTACCCTGCTACATGTAGGACCTTTAATCAGACAACTAGAAGTCACAACATCTCGACAAAAACCCTTCCGAAAAATACTTCCAAAAACTACAAAACCATACAAACCCATTTCTCAGTTGAAAGAGCTATTAATCAAATGCTAAAGTAAAATGCTGAATGAACTTCGTGGACAGCACGATAACTTGATCAAGATGCTTTTTCTTAGCAAGAGCAGTAAACAAAATACTGATTGCCCACATAGGGGAGTGGGCTGCATATGAATCATGTATCAAAGAAATCAACAGCTTCATTAGGAGACAAGTAACATTATCTGCAGTTAACATGGAGAATTTATCAGTTGAGCTTGGTGTTGGGGTTTTATGAGTTGATTGGGTTAGTGAAATAGGTTCTGAAAAGGAGTGGACGAAGAAAAAGTTTTAAAGAAATGAATCTAATCCCATCTTTTATTTGACTAATCCCATTTAACAATTTTTTTTTTTTTTTTGGAGAAGTTCATCTTACATAAATATACCTATAAGTACATCTATAATTATATTTATATATTTATTATTGATCGTGTCATATAAAATAATTATCTAATTCTTTTCACCTACTAAACTGGTGGAGCAGGGTCATATTAACATGAAATCAATGAAATTAACCTAAATATATAAAAAAAAAAAAAAAAAACCTTTTTTTAATAAGCCCGCACCTGAATAAACATCATAAGTCCATAACGCATAGAGATAGAGATGTTAAAAGGCATGGCTTCGGTAGGCCCACTGGGCCCGGGGTAATATATGAAATTCTAAAAATTACGAGAACCTCCTGGAATTATTACAACTTACTAAAAAGTTCGACAGCCTCCAAACAAATTTCAGAAAGCCCCCAAATATTACACGGAGGCCCCCACACGTAAAGTAAATTCAATCCCCCCTCATCATTTCAATTCAACTCAGGTCTAGAGCCCCCTAATTTTACATTTTCTTAACTAAGAAACTAAAAATATTTCTAAAGCTATATTTTTATAAGCTCTATCTAATACATTAATATTCATAAACTTTACTGTAATAAGCTACATATCAACACAAACTCAATAACAAATTGAATAATAAAGACGAATGTTAAATAATTATTATATATAAACGAAAAATTACATCTTTACTAATACAAAACTAGCTTAATTTACAATATGAAATGCTTACTACAATATTTTTACTAAATATGTTATATATATCAAATTAGTAGACTTACTACAAAGGACCATATTCATATTATACAAATTAGTGTATTATTATCTTTTACTCGTTATTTTTTATTTCGAGTATGAAAATTGTTTATATATAATCTTAAAAGGCAAGAATAAATACATTTACTGTATCATTCATTTTAATAAGGTGAAACTTAAATATTAATCTAAATTTTACTTAAATAGTTTTAATTATTAAATAAAATAATTACTAAATAGAATCAAAGCTTAAGTTAATAAAGGTAAAGTGGGAACTTAACAAAAGTCAAAGGTAAATATATATTTTTTTTTTTTACATTTTTCAAAAAAAAATCTCACACAACCCACTTGCCAACTACTCATTTAAATAAATAAAATTTCACCATGCACAGCAGCACATGCAGAATGCTGTCATTTTTCCTTTTGACGAGTTCAATCGCCGTCATTCAAATGAAATGACTCTGGTTAACCGCCGTTAAAACGCCAGCACAAGAACGCATCGGCGCGGTAAAAACTTCCTCTCTGCCAACCGTAAACAGTAAAAAACATTCGTATTATGTTAATGGATTCTTGATTTTTTATTCTTTTAATTACATTAAATGATTTATTCTTTGAAACAAAATTCAATACTAATTTAATATTCCAATTAAAAATAATAATTCATGTAGGACCTAGAACAGGACAGAACAGAAGAGAGTTCTCTTGATTTTCTTTATTTTGATTCTAAAATCTTCTGGTTTACGATTCAATTCAAATTCTATCCTTTGTAATTTTTCACGGCCAGAATAACACTATGTTTGGATGTTCTTTTTGTATTGTATATCAAAGAAAGTTGTAAATTTGATAAAGGGGACAAAAGAGAAAAAAAAGAAAAAGAAAAGAAGACAGGAAAATATTTTAAGGGGATGATCTTGAAACAGTTTTGCTTTGGATGCTTTAATTCATTCTAAGAATAAGCGGAATGGGGATATGGGTATTGGTGTTGATGGTTGTGGGCTCGTTTTGTCTGCTTTTCTTTTTGGAAAAACAAAAGGTGGTCCTTTTTGATTGTTTTTTATGTTTGATTGGGATATCAGTTTTAGGGTTAGATGTTGCCATTTTGGTGAAT